ATTGAGATGGGAAATGGGTTGTTTTATTTTTCAAATATGAAGAAATATTGTAGGACAGATGAGCCAGTCAAAGAAACACATTCAAGCCCTGAAACCAGAGTGAAAACTGTAAAAAAAAGGGCCTGTGAAAGAAACACACTTTTGCCCTGAAACCAGAGTCGAAGACACACATTCTGCCCCTGACCCACTCAGCACAAAAACCAACCAATCCCTGAGCAGGAAAACCTACAGAACATAATCAAACCAATCTCTGGGTTTGTCCAAACTCAGGGATTGGAATCTGAGCAATTCTTATCCTGGAAAGCTTCATCCTGGAAAAACTCCCTGACTAAGAAGCCCTACATAAGCCCTGTACCTGTTCAATTGGTAGGTGCCTTATTTCTTCTTGCAGAGGAAGTCTCCCTCCTGGACCCTTCCCCTAAAATAAATCTCTTGAATGAGGGTTGTGTGAGACCATTTTTTGTCAGAAGGGAGCAGAGCAGAGAGAGAACATTAGCCACACAGGAGCAGAGCAGAACAGAAATGTAACATTTCCCTGGGGGATAACCTCCCCTAACAAAGCAGAGTTGTTACATTGCTGAAAGCTTTCCCTGGAGCAGAGATTTAAGCTGCTGTGCTTAAGTTCACTTTGTGCTTTTCCTTGGTTCTCAACAGCCAGGATCCCTTTCCATCAAGATGCAACACTCACAAAAACACTTACATTGATTTTTTCATGTAATCCACCGCCACATACCAACAAATGCCTTCCTGCTCAAGGTGCTCCAGTCTCTATTTAGCCCTTTCTCAGAGAAAAAACCATGGTAGAGAATGCTAGAAGCGCAGGATTCTGCAGAGACTGTTGCCAGGAGGAAGAAGGTTCAGTAACTGTCACACTCATTATATTTGTGGATGAAGAGAGAAGGTGGCCAGACTCAATGACTAACAACCTCAATACTGTAAGAAGGGAGGCAAGATACAAAGAATGCCCATGTGTCTGACACCAGAGTGAGACATAAGATGAGCACCCAAACAACAGGGGTTACCCCTCAGGTGCTTGCTGCAACCAGCAGCATCCAATTACAAGCATCTTCATGATGACCAGAAGAACACTGCTTCTGGAAGTCCACCATGAAGCTTCCCTCCCATTTTAAAGATACAGGTTCACCCTAGTCCAAGAATCAAACCCTACCAAAAAGAGATGAAAAGCAGAGAAGAGAGATATGAATCATGTCTGGAGCAACAAAGACTAAGAAAGGCATCTAGGAGAAGAAACCCAAAGAGAAGATTCTTGGAGTTCATCATCTAAAATGCTCTCAATACACTCAACTCTGTCCTTTAGCACAGTCACAATGGAGCCCATTGATCTCTTCCTTGGGTCATGGACTGATGATGATGGCTCATAAACCAGATCAACGGATACAGTTTCTCATCCGAGTTCCCTCCTCCCATGCCGAACTCTCCTTCCTGCCCAAGGGAACTGACTGTATGTACAGTGAATGCTGAAAGCACACTCACTCCTGGAAGGTAACACCTAATAGGAACAACAGACACAGCTTCATCAATGAACGTTATAAGAAGCTCTGCCAATATCCTGGACTAAACCTCCTGAAAGGGAAACTTCCAGGCCAGGATTGC